CCTGACAGGAGTCTAAGTCCATACAGAATCTGTCCATACGGAGTGCTCGGTCTCCTTCTGGGCGTATTCCGTCTGGACCTCATCCCCCTCATGCCTTTTTCGGGCGGGGCTAGGACCAGGATAAATCTGTTCCAGAGCCGCCAGATCTCAGGGATTCCCGCTTCGTCTTCGTCCTGGCTTCGACTTATTTTCCCCACCCGCCCACCCTCGTAGTTCTTGTTGCTGGAAGTGCCCCTGGCCCACGGTGCCCCCAGGATTTCCAAGGAGGCCCCCACGGCCTCCAGAGAACCCCTCACGAGGCCCAGAGGGGTCTCCAAAATTGAGGCAAAAGCTGGGGGCATCTTGAGCCAGGGGTACCTTCAACAACCCCTGGCCTCCGGCCTTTCCCTGCCCAGCCCCCTTCCCTGCTGCCCCCGTGACCGCCTCCTGCTCCCGCCTCCCTCTTCCCCTCTTCGCTCCTCCTCCACCCCCCCCCACCCACCTCCAGCGGGGGAGGAGGAGGAGGAGGAGGAGGAGGAGGAGGAGGAGGAGGAGGAGGAGGAGGAGGAAGCCTACAGTCGAGTTTGATTCGTAGATCGACCCTACCAAATGAAGGATACCATTGCGTCCTGTGCTTCGGGGCCCCTGCCCTCTACATTCATACGGCAACGTGGCGCTCGGAAGGGTCTTGTGTCCTCTCGCGTGTCCTCTCCAATCAACCCAGACTGTATTGGAGGCCCAGAGAAAAGGCCACCACAGAGGCCCAACGACATCAGAGTAACGCTCTCCCCCCTCCTCCCCGGACTCCTGCCCCCTCCCCAAACTCCCCCTTCTTCCTTCCCCAATTCCGCCCCAATCTGCCCATGCCTGCGCTCACACCATGGGTACCCTGCCCCGTTCGTCTTTCCCTACGGCACGCGCTGGTACCCAAACCGCGAGAGGGAAGCACCCCTGCAGTCCCTGCCATCCCCCGCCGATGCTATCCCTTCCTCCTGTTCGTTCGTGCACCTTCTCCTCCTCCTCCTCCTCCTCCTCCTCCTCCTCCTTCTCCTTCTCCTTCTCCTCCTTCTCTTTTTTTCATCCCCGCCTACCACCCTTCCTCCTGTTCACCCTCAGCATCGTCAGAATCATCATCATCAGCATCATCACCATTATCATCAGCATCATAATCAGCATCATCAGCATCATCAACATCACCCGCATCATGGTAATCACCACCATCGTCGTCGTCATCATCGTCAACATCATCATCAGCATCAGCATCACCACCATCATCAGCACCATCATCGTCATCAGCATCAGCACCAGCATCGTCGTCATCTTCATCATCATCAGCATCATCGTCATCAGCATCATCATCATCATCATCATCAAAATCGTCTTCGTTATCATCATCATCGTTATCATCACCATCATCATCAGCAGCAGCATCATCATCGGCAGCATCGGCAGCAGATCACCATCTTCTTCTTATAAGCATGAATAGTGGTGTGATTCCTTATGTTACGGTGGTGGCGTTTTGTAAGAATGTACCCGGAAGGTTTCAGACCCTGGAGGATTCCTTATATGATGAGGGCGGCTGCAATATCCATGGCAAAGCCACAGTTGGTGTTCAACCGGCTTCCAGACCCTGGATTCCTTATCTAAGGGTTCCTTATCCAATGCCTTCACCAGCCGTACCTCTACCCGTGGAACCTGACGTGCGAGGACGAGGGTTACGGCTTGTTGGACGCCTCCACAGCGCAGCGTGGCAGAGGCTCGGCGGCTGTGACAGCGGCAGCCTTCGCCGCGGCGGCAGTGGCCAGCGCAGCGGCAACAGGTGCCGCTGCAAGCGCCGCGGGCGGCGCGGCTGGGCCTGTCCGCAAGCGCCCAGCGGCTGCGCAGAGGGCCGGCTCCGCCCCAGCCGCCCCCATCGCTGCGGTGGCAGGCGAGGCTGGCACTCCACGCGCTGAGGAAGCGAGCGAGGTGTTTGCGAGAGAGGTTCGGCGCAGAGCGGAGGCCAAGTCGTCCGCAGCGTCCTCTCAGCGCGTCCAGCTGGAGGAGGTACGCCCTTCTCCTGCTCCCGCGGCTGGAACCGAGCCATGGGTAGCGCACGGCCACAACCTGATGCAGACCAACGTGGTGAGCAAGCCGAACGAGGCCATCCTGGTGTGCACGCGCTGCTTCATGTACTGCCACCAGCCGAGGTATGCGCACAGGGGCCTGGCCAAGCCGTGTGTTGGTGGTGATCACAGATCAAGCCAAGGGTCGCGAGCTCAGGCCAGGACGGACTTCGGCAAGTTGCGATTGCCAAGCAAGGAAAAGCCGCCGATCGCGATGCTCAAGACGCCTACTAAAGAGGAGAAGCAGCGCTGGTGGAGGTCGCTCAAGATGGACGACTTCGACGGGCCCACCCCCCAGGCGGACGAGCTCCTGGCGGCGGCGCGCGCTGACGGCCCTGGCGACTCGCCAAGGCCTGCGGCAGCGCAGCATACAGCTGGCCGCGCAGCTGGCGTGGCTGGCCCTGCGGGCGGAGCGGCTGCGGCGTCGACGAGTGTTTCGGCGTCCTCGGCCGCGGCGGCGGTGCAGCCCGTGGAGCGCGAGGGCGAGCAGGAGCTCTCCGTGCCCGCCCTGGAGGGCGTCCTCCGCGCGCACGGCTTCGCGTCGGCGGAGGACGCTCGCGCCCGAGGGCGCGAGGCAGCCCAGGCGCGCGGGGAGCGGGACCGCGCGCGGGCGCTCGGCGCTGCGGCCCCGCGCGCGGCGAGGACGAGAGGCCCGCGCAGGTGAACGCCCCCTCCTCGGACGCCGCGGGGCCCGCCGCCGCCCCGCGCCGTTCGCGCGGGCGCGCGGCAGCGCCCGTGAATTCGTGGCATGACCACGCGGGTGTTCGCGCCCGCTCGAAGAGTTAAAATGCCTTCACCGTATGATTCGTATTAGTATGGCGTTCATGTTCTCCATGTCGAGACGTTTGCCCATGAGACAAAAAGACGCCTGACGCCTGCCCAGCAGCGGTCGCTGTCGGTGTTGGACGACGTTTGCTGTCGGGTATCGTACGGACTCGTTCCGTACCCATTTAGAGTGAGCCTCTGTCCCGGCGCGCCGCTTCCGCGGTCCAGATCCAGCCGCGCCATGGAGGAAAGAGCGTGCGCGCGCGTGCGTGTGAGAGTTCCCCCCCTCCCTCCGCGCGCCGCCATGGCGCCGACGCTTTAGCCGCGGCGGGCAGCGACCCCCTGGTGATGGTGGTCCTGGGCTCTGCGCTTCGTCGCAGCTCTCGCCCTACACCAAGCGGGCACAGCATTTTTCTGGTGGCAACCTGAAGCCTATATTGCTTTCCGTCACTTGCAATACCTAGTCGGCCCACCTGGACTGCTCCGTTGTGCGTTTCTTTACTTGCGGTGCTTAGTCGGTCCGCACCTGGACGGCTCAGCTGTGCGTACCCTTGCTTTCCGCGTACTGGGCCTCGGCAGCGCCCGTGGATGAACCGACGCCGCGGCCCGGCTGCTGCCACGGTCCCCGCTGCCGAAGTTAGCCGCTCCAGCGCGCTCAGGATGAAAGTCTTTCACCTCCAGTGCCCCCTCTCCTCTTCCCCCGCCTCTGCGGCCGCTCTGTCTGGCGCAGTCTCTCTGGGCAGTTCGCTCTTCGGGAGCCCCGATGTGCCGGACCGCTCGCGCAACATGCCTCTGCCTCGCCGCCGGCGAAACAGTGTGCGCCAGAAAGTGCGAGATTGCGCGTGAGTGAGCGCGTGTGTGTGTGTGTGTGTCTGTGTGTGTCTGTGTGTGTCTGTGTGTGTGTGTCTGTGTGTGTCTGTGTGTGTCTGTGTGTGTCTGTGTGTGTCTGTGTGTGTCTGTGTGTGCCTGTGTGTGTCTGTGTGTGTCTGTGTGTGTCTGTGTGTGTCGGTGTGTGTCTAAGTGTGTCTAAGTGTGTCTGTGTGTGTCTGTGTGTGTCTGTGTGTGTCTGTGTGCCTGTGTGCCTGTGTGCCTGTGTGCCTGTGTGCCTGTGTGTCTGTGTGTCTGTGTGTGTGTCTGTCTGTGTGTCTGTGTGTCTGTGTGTCTGTCTCTGTGTATCTGTCTGTGTGTCTGTCTGTGTGTCTGTCCGTGTGTCTCTGTGTGTGTCTGTCTGTGTGTCTGTGTGTGTCTGTCTGTGTGTCTGTCTCTGTGTGCCTGTCTCTGTGTGCCTGTCTCTGTGTGTCTGTCTCTGTGTGTCTGTCTCTGTGTGTCTGTCTCTGTGTGTCTGTCTCTGTGTGTCTGTCTCTGTGTGTCTGTCTCTGTGTGTCTGTGTGTCTCTGTGTGTCTCTGTGTGTCTCTGTGTGTCTCTGTGTGTCTCTGTGTGTCTCTGTGTGTCTCTGTGTGTCTATGTGTGTCTCTGTGTGTCTATGTGTGTCTCTGTGTGTCTCTGTGTGTCTCTGTGTGTCTCTGTGTGTCTCTGTGTGTCTCTGTGTGTCTCTGTGTGTCTCTGTGTGTCTCTGTGTGTCTCTGTGTGTCTCTGTGTGTCTCTGTGTGTCTCTGTGTGTGTATTGTGTGTATTGTGTGTGTATTGTGTGTGTATTGTGTGTGTATTGTGTGTAGTGTGTGTATTGTGTGTATTGTGTTTGTGTGTATTGTGTGTAGTGTGTGTATTGTGTGTGTATTGTGTGTATTGTGTGTATTGTGTGTAGTGTGTGTAGTGTGTGTGTAGTGTGTGTAGTGTGTGTGTAGTGTGTGTGTGTAGTGTGTGTGTGTAGTGTGTGTGTGTGTGTATTGTGTGTATTGTGTGTGTATTGTGTGTGTATTGTGTGTATTGTGTGTATTGTGTGTATTGTGTGTGTATTGTGTGTATTGTGTGTGTATTGTGTGTGTATTGTGTGTGTATTGTGTGTGTATTGTGTGTGTATTGTGTGTATATTGTGTGTGTATTGTGCGTGTGCGTGTGCGTGTGCGTGTGCGTGTGCGTGTGCGTGCGCGTGTGCGTGTGCGTGTGCGTGTGCGTGCGTGTGTGCGTGTGCGTGTGCGTGTGCGTGTGCGTGTGCGCGTGCGCGTGTGCGTGTGCGCGTGTGCGTGTGCGCGTGTGCGTGTGCGTGTGCGTGTGCGTGTGTGTGTGTGTGGCGAACGCCCTCATCACCACCCGCCGCCTTCCTTCTCCGGCCCGCCGGCGCGGCCCCCTTTCTGGTGCGCGGCGGCATCCGGCGGCGAGCGAAGGGGAAGGGGGGGAATGAGAGGGGGCGGGCGCTTCTTTTTCGGAAGGCTCGGAAATCCCCCTGCCTTCTGAGAGGTGGTTTGCGTCTTCCCCGAAGGCACGGGAAGAGGAGACGAAGACAAAGCAGACAACCCGGCAGGCCCGAGGGCTTCTGAGAGGTCCCGCCGCCTTCTGGGAGAAGCCTCCTCTCCTTCCCACAGCCCCACCCGCCCGCCGCCGAGGCATGCGCCTCGGCTGAAGGGCGAACCCGCGGCGCGGCACAGCTCCGCATGCAGGCGGCCGCTGACCCCATCTCCGTGGTCGGTCGGACACCGCCAGGGCCGCCCAGCCAAGTCCAGCGTCCTCTGTCTCCCCCACACCTTCCTCCACCTTCGTCCTCCCCCGTCCTCCCTCCACCTTCGTCCTCCCTCCACCTGCGTCCTCCACCTTCGTCCACCACCTTCGTCCTTCGTTCGCCCCCCACCTTCGCCATCCACCTCCCACCACCCTCGCCCTCCACCTTCGTCCGCCTCCCTCCCTTCTTCCTCCCCCTTCGTCTTCCACCTTCGTCCTCCCCCAGCCCCCCCTCCTTCCTCCATCGTCGTCCACCTTCGTCCTCCCGAAGACATTGCAGAAAGCCCTCGCCTCTGGCGCACCCCGGCCCTCGGCGGAAGCCAGCAGAAGTACAACGGCGGCGGCTTCGCCGGACGAAGCCCGTCGGAAGTAGATTATGAGACGCCAGCATGCTTTGCTCCAGGGTGTCCGCAGTCGACCCTCTGAACCCCCGAGGCCCCTCGGAAGCCCCATGAGAAACCTGCCGCTCGCTCGTCCTTCTTTCGCCCCCGCCCCCCACGAATCGGGGCCCGGGAGCCGGCCGAGCAGCCCAGGACCTCCGCCGGAGCGACATGTTTCAGGAGGGGAACAAAACACACAGACACAATTGATCGTCGATGCCCAAGAAAAGATGGGAAGATATGGGAACTGGGCGGGAAGACAAGAACCCAGAAAGAATGAGAAAGTATGGGGCGTCATTTTGTTTGTGTGTATTTCTTTGTGTGTCCTTGGGCCCCTTGACGTGTTCCCTCCTGGCGTTGTGATCGCAGGCTGGGCCTCTCGGGAGGCGCGCGCGGGCCTCCCCGGGGGGCCAGCGGGGGTGGATCCAGGACGAGGCGCGGCCCCCGCGGAAGGGGTCGGCCTCTTGGGGCCCGCGAGGCCTGGGAGGAGGAGGAGGAGGAGGAGGAGGAGGAGGAGGACGACGCGGAGGAGGAGGAGGAGGAGGAGGAGGAGCAGGAGGAGCAAGAGGAGCAGGAGAACGGGGACGAGGACGAGGAGGAGGAGGACGAGGACGAGGACGAGGGCGGAGGAGGAGGAGGGAGGGAGGGAGGGAGGGAAGGAGGTGGGGGAGGAGGGGGATCGAAGATCGAGATGATTGGACGCTTGTGGCCCCTCGTGGGCCCCCGCAGGCCTCAGCTGCGTTCGGGGGCCTCCAGGGACAGACCTCTCGGGGCACATCACAAAATTGCCAGATCGGGTCAGGATCTGCTAGCCTGTGCTACTTCTCTGAGCCCTGGAACTTCTGCTCGGACGCGCCCGGGACCCCCTGACCATTCGGGGTGACCGACCACGGATCCCAATCACCTTCTGCGAGTTCTTGAAGCTGCTCGGAAATGCCGGCGTGGCCAGCGTCTCCTTCCGCCCCCATGGCCTGCTGGAGGTCACGCCTGCCAGCGGCCAGGTCCCGATGATGACCACCCGCGTGCTCAGCGGTGTGGGGGGCCGACAAAGCCGCGTGGTCATTTACCATCCTCTCCCTCCTGCTGCCCCCTCCTCCCTGTCCTCCCCCTCCTCTCGAGCCGCTACGTGGGATAGCCTGTTCCTGCTCCTGGTCCTCCCCCTCCTCTCCATCCTCCCCCTCCCCCTCCCAGCCATTGCCTCTCACACTCCTACTTCCCCACTCGCCTTCTCCCGCTCTTCCTCTTCCTGGTCCTCCTCCTCCTCCTCCTCCTCCTCCTGGTCCTCCTTCTCCCTCTCCTCGTTTTCCTCCTCATCCTCCTCTTCCTCCTCCTCCTCCTCCTCCTCCTCCTCCTCCTCCTCCTCATGCTCCTCCTCCCTCTCCTCGGCTTCCTCCTCCTCCTCCTCCTCGTCCTCCTCCTCCTTCTCAGACTCAGACTCAGAACGAATCCACCACAAATATACGTTCACAACATCATATGATATAGACGCCGTGCCGCATGTAAGTGGGATTAAGGGAAGGCTCGCTACGAAGCCGACGCAACGTGAGTTGAGGCCAGCTGCTCACCAAACATTGTGGCACTGGCCTGGCTGGCACCCTGAAAAAGGCACGCAACCCTTGGACAGGGCCAGCACTCTCGGCATGGTCCGTCGCAGCACGGCAGAGGCGATCGGCACGGACATTCGCGTTGTCGGGGACACGAGACAAACGAGTTGTCTGGCTGCAGGAAGGCGGGGGGAGGAGAGACGGCCGCGGAGGACAGGGTGGAGGAGAAGGGCACTCGTTGCTGAAAGCGTTTCAGGATGATCGCGCTGGAGCGGCCAGCCGGAGCTGAGGTGACCTGGTAGTGGACGCGGGACGGCAGCACGGGCACACCCAGGAGCCGTGGCATTCTTGCTTGGCACAAGGCTCCTCCAGAACTTACAGAAAGCACTTCTAGCCTTGCCCACCACCCCCACCCCCACCGTCCACCCCGCCCCGCACCCCACGTCTCTTCCCCTTCTCCTGGCTCCTGGCGTGAGGGCAGTCTCACCACAGGCTGCGCAGGAAGCTCAGGATGATCATAAGTCATCACGCTACTACTGGGTGCACTGCTTACTGCATGCCAGTCGGCACGCTTGCAGTCAGCTCCGCCAATCGGTTGCTGCTCCTGAAGTTCTGTACCTGCCGCCGTCGAGCAGCCTGAGATCTCTCGTTCCAAGGGCCCCTTTTCAGGGCTGCAGCCTATTGCCTCCCCCAGACTCGATCGTCCCGTGAATGGCTGAAAGATGGTCGACGTCAACGTGCGTTCTCCCGCCAGCCTGGTGAGGATTGTGGTGTTCTCCTCGCCTGGACCCTGCTTCTTCTGCAACTCCGCGTGACAGTAGAGCACGGGCGCCCCCATCCCCCCCAAGGAGTTGTGCCCTTCAGCTCCGTGCTGAGGCCTTCCCTCCTCGGGCCCGAGCGTGCCTTCTGCTGCTGGCCAGCTGGGCCCTGCATCGTCACCTCCTTCGTCGTGATGTGCTCGCACGCCGCCATGAAGCAGTGATGGAATTAGGCGCCGTCGCCGCCCTTGCAGCCCATGTGGTTGCCCCTCGCCGCCTCGGCCGTCGTGGCCTTGCACTCCGCCTCGTCCGCTTCGCCTGCCGTGCCCCTCGCCCGGGCGCTTCTCTGCGACCGCTCGGGCCCGCCACCTCGCGAGCGCTGGAGAGAACCAGGCGCGCCGCCTGACTGACGAGGGTGCTGCTGTCCCTGGTCTTGCTTTCGGGGGGTGGACAGAGCCCCCCGCCCTGACGCGTCGATTCGTGAATTGTCCGTTTTCGGTTCTCGAGAGGGCGCCGCGGCCGTCATTTTCCAGGCTTGCGCCCCCCAGATTTGGGCCCGAGGTCGTTTGCACAAAACCCCGTTTCACCCCGAAGCTCTGCCGCCGTCGACCTTCTCATGCCTGTCGCGATCGGGGTCGGCCTGGCGTTCGGCGCCTCCCTTCCCGGTGGTGGATTACCTCGGATCCCTCAGGATTCCCCAGGGCTTCCGAAGGATTCCCCAGGGCTCCCTCCAGTGTTTTAGAGGAGTCCTGAGGAGATTCCCTTAGGGATTCCTACGGATTCCCCGGGTGTGTACCAACCGGGTGAGGCCAAGGCAACGGTCTCGGGCATGACGGGCCCGCTCGCGGCACGCCGAGGGGGGCCAGCTGCCACGGCAGGTGCGATGCCACACGGTCGCAGAGGTCGTGTGTTGCCGAGCAGGAGCACGAGCCGCAAGAGCAATGGAGGCTACGGGTCCCAGTCCGTTCACGCAGTGTTGTGGGCCCTCGAGTGTCGCAATGCCCGCGAGGTAATGATCGCAACAAGTAAACCGCTGCACCCTTCGATCATAGAAACCTGACGGCTGTGGATACAACAGCTTCCTGGCCAGAGCTCATATACTAGATTACTCAAGTTGCGATAGCCCCTAAGATGATAAGTAAAAGCCTTCCTAGCAGCAATCTTACAAGTACACGGGGCACCTCCGTTGACGATCCAGCACGCGTTTTTGTCGGGGTTATCGTCCGAATTATGTTCCTCAAAACAGGGCAGAGGAGGGGGAGGGACCTCAGAGCCAGGGGGAGGGACTTGAACCGAGAAGACCATGACACTCAGCACTGCGACGTCTACTCGACAAACATATCCAAGCAGATCTACATTCTTTGCTAGTGCTTCAAAGATTCATTCATGGGCCTCCCCGCCACAGGCGTCACGGTGGAGTGGCTGCTGGAGAGGATTCTGGCGGCTGGGGTCGTGTTCACAGACGACCGTTCGGAGCCGAGGCGATTGACCTCGACGGTGCGGGCAATCGCTAAGTTCACGTTGCCCTTGTTCTATTTGGCCGTCGGGAGATGGGAAGAAAGTACACGTCGCTCGCGGGATGTGTGTGTGTGCTCTTGGACCCCTGGCC